GTCAGCAGTGGGCGAAGATGGAGGGCCCAGGAGGAAGTCGCTCAAGCCATTAACAGGCTACAACACAAGGAGGTCATGGGAAGAGTCCAACACAGCCGAGCAGGGTTGGGCTGGGGAGAGCCAGTTCAGTTCTGGTCCAAAGCCACAAGGGAGCAGAGGAAGTCCATGGTGGTGGAAGAGATCTCACGAGTGGAACAGGACCGTTACCTCATTAAGGCTGTTTCCCAGGGCATACAAAGAGCATGGAACCGCTGGGAGGATAGTACTAACAGGGTCATAACCTGGGCAGATATCTGGCAAACCCCGCAGTCGCGGCTCAGCTTCCTCGTGAGGGCAGTGTATGACACCCTCCCTTGTCCCAGAAATCTCTCCCAGTGGTTCAGAAGTGAGGACAAGTGCCACCTGTGCAATGAAGCCAATGCAGGCCTTCAACATATCTTCTCTGGGTGTAATGTTGCATTGATACAGGGCCGCTTTAGATGGCGGCATAATCAGGTGCTGAGGAAGTTGGCGGAGCAGTTGGAAAGATGTAGAGTCCGGGCAAATAGCTCTTCAGATCCCGTTCGGCCAAATATCCCGTTCCTCAGACCAGGAGAAGGCGGGCAGAAGACAGTGGCGGGAAGGACAACATGTCTGCTCACTCCTGGAAAGGGATGGAAGATGCGTGTTGACCTGGGCACCCAGCTTATCTTCCCAACAGAGATCACTCAGACAACATTAAGGCCAGATGTTGTGCTGTGGGCCACAGCGGCCAAGAAGAGGGAATACCAGCGGCGTATGAGTTCAAGCGGCTCAAGTACTCTGATCTGGCGGCGGAGTGCAGAGACGGGGGATGGACCGCGACCATCCATCCCGTGGAAGTTGGATGCAGGGGCTTCGTGGGAAAGTCCGCAATCCAGCTCCTTCGAGCTGCTGGGACAACTGGGGTAAGCCTGAGGAGAGCCATCATGGAGCTGGCGGAGGAGGCAGAGAAGGCAAGCTACTGGTTGTGGCTAAGGAGAAGGGACACGAATTGGGGCTCGGTACCCCAGTGGGGGCAGCTGCAGGGGGTGGCGGGGAGACGTCCCAATAAGCCACTGCCCCCCCACCGGGAGACGTACTGGATAGGGGGCGAAACGTCCATGAACGGTGGCACCAGCTGATGCCCTGCAGCTGACCCAAAAGGTGCACTGGAGGAGGTGCGGCAGGCAGAAATGTCAAGCAGGAAACATCATCTGTATATTGAAATGACTACTAGCTATTTTAAAGCAGTGGTTCTTAATCAGTGGCCAGTTGCATAAACTACTTAGACTAGTTTAAAAAAATTAGTCATCTAATATGTTTACTTCAAAACTGGTCATAACTTCCTAAATCCAGTTACAAAAAAAGGTAGATTGCCCCAATTTAAATAAGACAAGACAGACTGATTACCTCCTGACTCCGTAAACTTCTCGGGGGCCCAAATGTGTCTTGATTTTTTAAAATTTAGTTAAAATAAAGATGTACAAATTACACTGACAATACAGTGAGTTTATTTATCTTGTATTACAATAGAAGCACCAGGGGTACATATCAGCTTAGATAGAGGGGGCTTATTTCGCAAATATTGTTCTGTACAAAGAGGGACCTTGGAGTCAAAAAGCTTGAGATCCACTGGCTTACAGGAATATATGCTAGAGCTGTCAGGCTGCACGTCTTCGTTTACTGAACAGAATGCAGAGTGTCAACTATCAAGATGAATAGCTGAAGAGTCGTTTCCACTCTCTCTAACGTTACTTACAATTGCAACCACATGTACAGAGAGTAAATTAGTGCAATGATAGCAACTAAGGAGTAATCCAAATGAATTAACGGTTAACGGAGTAGTAGTCAAATTAATGAAAAAAAAATACAGAAGTGCAATATCTCGTTAAATGAATCTAGGTCTAGAAAGCCATGCACGCTCTTCAAATGCAATGCTGTCTGGTACTCAGATGTCACTTCATTACTCACATCGTCAAGCCACTGCCCCCCCACCGGGAGACGTACTGGATAGGGGGCGAAACGTCCATGAACGGTGGCACCAGCTGATGCCCTGCAGCTGACCCAAAAGGTGCACTGGAGGAGGTGCGGCAGGCAGAAATGTCAAGCAGGAAACATCATCTGTATATTGAAATGACTACTAGCTATTTTAAAGCAGTGGTTCTTAATCAGTGGCCAGTTGCATAAACTACTTAGACTAGTTTAAAAAAATTAGTCATCTAATATGTTTACTTCAAAACTGGTCATAACTTCCTAAATCCAGTTACAAAAAAAGGTAGATTGCCCCAATTTAAATAAGACAAGACAGACTGATTACCTCCTGACTCCGTAAACTTCTCGGGGGCCCAAATGTGTCTTGATTTTTTAAAATTTAGTTAAAATAAAGATGTACAAATTACACTGACAATACAGTGAGTTTATTTATCTTGTATTACAATAGAAGCACCAGGGGTACATATCAGCTTAGATAGAGGGGGCTTATTTCGCAAATATTGTTCTGTACAAAGAGGGACCTTGGAGTCAAAAAGCTTGAGATCCACTGGCTTACAGGAATATATGCTAGAGCTGTCAGGCTGCACGTCTTCGTTTACTGAACAGAATGCAGAGTGTCAACTATCAAGATGAATAGCTGAAGAGTCGTTTCCACTCTCTCTAACGTTACTCACAATTGCAACCACATGTACAGAGAGTAAATTAGTGCAATGATAGCAACTAAGGAGTAATCCAAATGAATTAACGGTTAACGGAGTAGTAGTCAAATTAATGAAAAAAAATACAGAAGTGCAATATCTCGTTAAATGAATCTAGGTCTAGAAAGCCATGCACGCTCTTCAAATGCAATGCTGTCTGGTACTCAGATGTCACTTCATTACTCACATCGTCTCCTGCAGTATCCCATAGTAGAAGTAACACACGAACACTCCGCAGAAACACACGATGAACCGGAGCCGTTCGTTCTGCCAGAGAGACGGTTTGCTCGCTGCCTTCCCGGCGGCCATGCTATCGTCCAGCAGTCTCGGTATAGACACGGACACGGCTCCGCTCCCCGTACCCCGCGCTCCTGCGTCCCGATCCACTCTACCGGCGATCGGTAGCCCGGGAATGAAGACGCGACTCTAGACCCCCCTCTTCTCTGCTCTGATGATGAGGCTCTCCTTACACTTCCGCTATTATTACCATGCGTTTATTTGTTTTATGCAATTTACAGATCAGTAACGTTAACGTAATGAACCGCGCGCTAGCTGTGTCCTGAAAACGACGTGCGAGTGATTGCATGCAGGTAAAACGCGGCGTCTGTTTCCAGATATTGCGAGGAAGCCTCAAACGTTTAAGTAATTCTGCTCGAGATGCTGAGTTAAAGGTCTGTTTTTGACGTTTAGTATTAGCTGATGATAACCATAGACATATGATGAGAACTACTGCTGCCTCTAATAAATGTTTTCATTTGACGCGACACTAGAGAGGAGAAGGACCTGAGAAACTCTAGGTACTCTGCTGATATGCCTGTAACTTTATCAGGATCGAAGAGAGAATTAAGATACAGAATTACGCCAGGAACAGGTCGTTATTTGCTGAATCGCGTTGACTTCCCTCCCAGCACAGGTTTTCGGCTCAGTCTATGTTTCTGTGCATTACTGATAGTACGCGGCTTGAATTTTATTTGGGTATTAGATTCAAGTCCCTGTAAACAAATCTGTGGGGCCTTTCCTGAAAATAAGCAGTTAGGATTTTTACGTAGCGGTATGTGTATTACTTAGATTGGTCCAAATAAACAAAAGCTGACGACATGCAGCCAATCACATGGCTGGGATCTTTAAGAGGGCGGGGCATAGAGTTCCTCCTCATTCATGTAAATTTGAAATTTAGAATTCCAATTCCAAGTGTTACATTTTAATGTACACGTATAAATGTATATTACAGTGTAATCCAGACAGACGTGAGACTTGTGCTCAAGAATGCATAATTATTAAGCTGATATACAGAACAACATCCACACTCTTATTTCTCTGCACTTCTCATTTATGGCAGCCAAAAAGGAGTAACATAAATTTACAATATAGAAGACAAAACAGGATTGGTGTACAAGAACTGTACTCAAGACAAACAATCTGAGAACAATGTCAATAAAACAGCACCCTTACAGAACAAGGTAACAAGTCAGAACTTAAAAAACTGCATGGACGATGCCACGACTGAGACACGATCCATGCAAATATATGGGATAATAACAGTGCTTTAAATGACAGCAAGCAATAACTTGCTGGAAGTCTCGTTCTTTATGATATGCACATATTGTACCTGAATGCAGCAAACTTGCTTGTGTCTTATGTGAAGTGTTTGTAGAACCAGCCTGTGCTCAAATGAACTGAACAATATGACCACTGTGGGTAAGATTAGTAGTCAAGTCTGAAGTGAAATTCAGTAAAACATACAGCACACTTATCAAGTGCGGAGCAAAATAAACCCTTAATGGGGTCCTGTCGGTATTCTTGTCTTACACCGAATTTAAGTGTCAGCGGCCCACAATGCATGAAGACCTCAGAATAGACAAGTATTAATGGCCTCTGCCTTTTCCTCATTACATTATAACTGTAAACATAGTTTCTCTGGATCGGTGAATCTCACAGAATCTATTAAGAAAATATCCCCATCATATTTCAATCCAAACTCAAAAGATAAAATAGAAAAGTAACCAAGTCTATCTTAGTACCTATTGTATACATACATATACAAATATTTTATTTATTTTTTAACTTTAACACAGTAACAAAATATGTCCCTTACTTGTCCTACAATTATGACACAATAAAAATAAAAATAAACTTTTTTCTTTTGATTGGCGGTGAAATATGATGGGACATTTTTGACAAGCTTTGTAAGATTATGGATAATAGCTCTTCACTGAACATTTGGAGGCATTCATTAAACACCTACAGTTCAGAGCTTTTTGAACTAGTAAACAGATATGCTGAGAGTATTCAAAACAGTCCCAGCCTTCAAAAACACCGGCTGATGAGAGACTCTCTGGTCTATTACTGCCTCTTTTGTGCTGGTAAAAAAAAGCCCAGCATGCAGTAAAGACCTGTGTCTGTAAATACTGAATTAAGAAACAGAGGTTTCTGAACCACAACTATAATATGCTATAATGTGAAACGAAAAGATCACAAGTGCCAAGTAGTGTCCTGAGGTCAAAAGGTCGCCAACAAATCACATCGGAGAGAGTCCACCATAGTTTTAGATGAAGAAAAGTTCTCCATTTTGTTCTTCCATCATGATTTTTTCCCCTCTCTGTGCCGATCAAAACAAATCAGATACTGAGTGGATGGTGTGAGCAGTTTCTCCTCTTTGAAACACTTTGATGTCAAAGTTGCTGATGAAATGGGACAAAGGCACAACCAGCTTTAGTTTTTCTTTTCTCGTCATGAATGTGCTCCATTCACAGAGAGGTGGTGGTAGGGTCTGGGAGGCTGCCGCTCAAATAACCACCCACAGCATGTCCCGGTGTCTGGCAGGGGGCAGCACTCTGAGCCGAACAGCCAGTGACGGGTGAAACAGACAGGCCACGAAATAACAGGTCCATAGAAGGCAGGAGTGGCTTGAGGAGACTGACAGGACAGAAGGCGGAGCCACCGTGAGGTGTGAAGTTCACCTTGTTAGGATCAGGACAGGAAGGCTGAAGAGGAGCATTCCTATGACAGGCAAGGCTGAAAATAGAAGATTGATTGCATATTATATATAAGTATTGCATGTGTATATATATATATATATATATATATACTTCCGCTATTATTACCATGCGTTTATTTGTTTTATGCAATTTACAGATCAGTAACGTTAACGTAATGAACCGCGCGCTAGCTGTGTCCTGAAAACGACGTGCGAGTGATTGCATGCAGGTAAAAACGCGGCGTCTGTTTCCAGATATTGCGAGGAAGCCTCAAACGTTTAAGTAATTCTGCTCGAGATGCTGAGTTAAAGGTCTGTTTTTGACGTTTAGTATTAGCTGATGATAACCGTACCATAGACATATGAGAACTACTGCTGCCTCTAATAAATGTTTTCATTTGACGCGACACTAGAGAGGAGAAGGACCTGAGAAACTCCAGGTACTCTGCTGATATGCCTGTAACTTTATCAGGATCGAAGAGAGAATTAAGATACAGAATTACGCCAGGAACAGGTCGTTATTTGCTGAATCGCGTTGACTTCCCTCCCAGCACAGGTTTTCGGCTCAGTCTATGTTTTTGTGCATTACTGATAGTACGCGGCTTGAATTTTATTTGGGTATTAGATTCAAGTCCCTGTAAACAAATCTGTGGGGCCTTTCCTGAAAATAAGCAGTTAGGATTTTTACGTAGCGGTATGTGTATTACTTGGATTGGTCCAAATAAGCAAAAGCTGACGACATGCAGCCAATCACATGGCTGGGATCTTTAAGAGGGCGGGGCATAGAGTTCCTCCTCATTCATGTAAATTTGAAATTTAGAATTCCAATTCCAAGTGTTACATTTTAATGTACACGTATAAATGTATATTACAGTGTAATCACATGCATACTGTAATACTGCAATTTTTATTAACAATGATTTTTTTATGACATCTGGTGCAAAATGTGCTTAATTATCATGAAAATGGTGTAATACTGCAATTTTTATTAACAATTATTTTTTTATGACATCTGGTGCAAAATGTGCTTAATTATCATGAAAATGGCCTTCTTATTGTTTGACGGTCTCTATCATTCACTTTCAGTTTTTGAATACTTTTCTTCTTTGCTGATGAATTCTTGCCATGCTTTGTGTACGCAGTCATAATCATAAAGACTGTTCTTCTTAAAACTCCAAACGATTGTTAAAGTCCCCATGAAATCAAAATTAAAGTTTTTTGTGTGCTAGTATCAATATGCTAGTCTTAAGGTTATCTATAAGGCAGACGAACGCTATTGGCTATTTTAAAAAGGGGCGGGGCTGCTTGATTGGTCCCGCCCTGTCTTCCTGCTTCAGTTAAAATGACGTCAACACAGAGTAACGCTGTGTGTTTCTAAGCATTTCAGGGGACCTTTAAGGTTACAGATGCTAAACAGGCTTCCTTGATTTGCCATTTTTGGAAGTCTGACAACTCTCCCATTTCACCCAAGGCTTGTACTAACCACTGCTAAACACAGTGAAAACAGCTTATACTACACTGATATACAACCTAGAGAATACAGACAATGAAAAGAAAAATATTATTTTATTTATTTACTTATTTTATTTTTTGAAAAAGGCAAAAGGCCATTTACAGGACAGAGAAAGTAGAGATTGGTTGATCAAATCATTAATTTAATTTAATTAACTGCACTAATTGCCGATTAATTAGATCCATTGAAAACTTAATATTCAGATTAAGAATATTTGCATTAAAAAAAGGCCCAAGATCAAGATAATGTAAATGTATGGTCATTTTAAGAATACAGAATAGACTTGTATTATTTTCTTAACACCGTTAATAACACTATATTAATGTGTTATATTGACATCCCCATTTAATGTGTTTTATAGGTCACACTTTAGTTTGGGGACCAATTCTCACTATTAACTATTACTTTTGCCTCAATCAACTCCTAATTTGCTGCTTATTAATAGTTAGTAAGATAGTTGTTACATTTAGGTATGGGTTAGGATCAAGGGATCTAAAATATGGTTATGCAGAACAAGGCATTAATATGTGATTTATAAGTACTAATAAATAGCCAATAAGCTAGTAATATGCATGCTAATAAGCAGTTAGTTAGTAGAGAGAATTGGTCTCTAAACTAAAGAGTTACTGATTTATGTTTATTTCCTATCTAACACATACAGCGGTTTGTGTTCGTGCTAAACTTACATGGCCTCCTCAGACACACGTACTCTCTCACAGCCCTCTGGAGGTTCTCTCTGAAAGACGTACGTCTTGTTGGGACGAGGAGAAGAAGATGGTGGCTCAGAAATACATAGAGGAGGGGAGGAAGGCAGACAGAACGGCCCACACACAACCATATCTATACACAACACACACACACACAGATCAAGACAGTCATCAGCCAAATACATATTAGCAATTAACAGTTTCACACAGAACTTCCTGTCATGTGTTGATAAAATATGAATGACGTCCCTAAGAGCAAGTTCAGTTTGTGCTATTTTTTCAATCCTTACTGAGCACATCCATCTTTGGCCATCTTGTCTCAATTTGACATGGGACATGAAATATAGACTTTATAAAGTCTGTTTCTATATTTATACATATACTGACCGGTGTCTGTGATGGTGCAGGGAGAGTGTGAGGGGGACAGCTGGGCAGGAGAAGGGTCGCTCTGTGAAGCGCTGCTGTACCTCTGAGCTGGGACAGGGGCTCTGTGACCATCTGGTACCTCAAGAATCTAAACACACACCAAAAAAATAAAAATAAAAAAATTAACACGGGTTTCGGATGGTTCTGAAACTAAAACAGTAGATCAGAAACACACATACAAACAAATACACACTGACTTTGTGCTGTTCTTTTGCTGTTTCAGACACAAAGACTCCCTCCAGCTCCAGATTTAGTCCTTCAACACTGCGTCTCAGTCTGGGGGCCAATCGGCTCAATGGAATCAGAGGCATCGTCTGCACACACACACACACACACACAAGACTATCAATGAATCAATGAACTGAACTTTAACTGAAAATGAAGTGATTTAAACCAATATGTGTACAAGTTGAAAGGGAAAAAAAAGTGTGTGTGTGTATATATATATATATATATATATAT